GGGTCTTCAGATCACGCCCAACGATCGTTTACCGTTCTGGTAGACGTATTGTTGTGGGTTTATCCTACCTACACTAGTAGCTAGAGTTGCCGTGGAAATTACAACACCACAGTTCTGAGGGGGTCTATAAATGCTAGGCTCAGTTGGGAAGTCTCAATATTGATACGCTCACTTTGATTCTTAGCATGGTCGCGAAGCTTTACCGAGCTAACAAAAATCATCTCACACTTAGCGCATTGGTACTTGCTCTGGAGCATATCGATATTCTTGATGTATAGAGCATGGTTATCATATTGATAGCTTCGTGCTCCTTATCTGAGAGGCGGATTGATTCCACCTCCTCACAAGAGATATCCATCTTATAGATGTTTATAGCGGATTGAAAGCAGTCTTCAAGACCATCAAACTGTAAGAGATCCAGAGGATTGAATCCTCGGAAGACACTTAGAATGTATGCAATACCCTTGGACGAACAGTAGCGCTTGAATACGCCCTTCACCTGCGCCTGAATTTTACGAGGGTCTTTTTAGAGTCCTTGTGCAAATACCAGGCGATACAGTGGAAGACACATTTGTTATTGGTTTTCGGGAAGTTGATAACGTGTTTATTATCGTGAATGATCTTGGGGATGACAGCTCCATTATCACCAAGTGCGTGGTTGCGATAATAGATGTAAATCTTGAGGCCAGTAATTGCCTTAACCCCCCCCCCCCAGCCCGGTCCAAAAAAGTCGCGCCTTTTGACTAAGCTAACATGTATTGAAGGGGAAGGGCTCCGCTACTAAAACAGTGTTATTTCTAATCGTGTACCGTTACAAAGGCCATGCAAAACCCTACCCCTGTGAATTGGTATGCTATTTATCGTGTATTGATGGCTTTGTCATGTCTTAGTTTGAGCAACACAGACATTATAAGCAGAGTTATCAAGTCCACAACTTTCAGAGACGAGTCGTGTACCAACAGATACCGGGCTGGACTGTGGTAAAGACATTGATTTTTTTCTCGATATTTAGAATCTAAAATCAGCTGGGTTCAGCTCAGCACGGACTATACTGAAATTCATACAAAACTGGAGTGCGTCCAGCAATCATTGATTGCGTGGGAAGCAATCAATTACGACGTGCTCTCTGCGGTGGGTTTGGGGACCCTTCGTCGTCTGCCGTCTCCTCCTCCTCTCCCTCAGCATTCCACTCGTCTTCCTCCGCTGCCCGCACACGGATTTTGCGCTTACCACGGCTGGGCTTGTGCGTGCCGTTCCGCCAGCACTTGTGCCAGATCTCAAAGCACGTACGCGCCTCCCCATCGTACGAGTGTTTGACTTTGTTGCACAGATACACTGGCGACGTTTTAGCTTCGCCACTCCTTTTGTCTGTTGTCGTGAGTACGCATGTACTGCACTGGAAGGACGTGTCTCCACCCGTTACCTTCTCTTTGAGTAGCGAACACACTTTGCATGCTCTTTGACGACGTTTGCGACTTCCTTCAGTGTTGCCCTTCCTGGTGTCATCTGTCTGGACGGGCATATGCTCGGAACTGCCTCCCGCACGATGTCTTGTCGGAGTTGCGTTTTGCCCGCGCGTCCGCTGCAGTTCCAACCAGTCCGACGCGGTTATCTGGCACAGTTCGAGG